CATTTGAGAATGGGATTTGAGAATGGGCAAGCGTAAGTGTCTGGAGGTCAAAGGCCAAGCCCAGTGCTGGTTTTCAGGTGGTCTCTATAACAAAGGTGTTTTTTGAGACAGGGACTCTCATTGGCCTTAGACTCACTACTTAGCCTAGGCTGACTAGCCAGTAAATCCCAGGAATCACCCTGTTTCCATCTTCCTGGTGCCTGGATTACAAAAGCACACGCTACCATGCCCAACATTTTAAATGTGGATTCTGGGAATTAAACTCAGGTCCTCATCCTTGCAAAGCAAGTGCCCTACTAAATGAGCCATCTCTCCAACTCCTTGAAATCTTGATTGAGAAACTTTTTGGCCAATGCATTCACCTCCGTTTTTATATATAGCTTTTTTTTAATTTTTAATTTTTTTGGTAACATCTGATATGTCTTCTCACTAGTTTCTTTATTTGGACTTTTGAGTTATCTTGCACATTTCCTTAGTCTATTCTATGTAGCCATAACAAAATACTTGAGGCCAAATACTTTTGAATATAGTTTATTTGGCTTAGTTTTCAAGGCTAACAGCACCAGTCCATGGTTGGGGGAGGAGGGAGGTGGCTTCAACTGGTAAAAAGCCTGCTTGGCTGTGTCACTGATGGTAGAAAAACACTAAAAGAAACAGCTATGTGTAGAAGGGGCCACACACATGTTGGGGCCTCAGTTTATAATAGCTTGCCCAGGCAAGTACCTATGTCATCCAAGACCTATGTCAAACCTTCTCCAGGATGGGACCCATGGCTTAATCTCTACGTTCCACTGAGCTCCACCTTTTAAAAGTCCCACTGTCTCCCAATATCGCCACACTCAGACAAGCTTCCAGTCATGAATTCTTCAGGGCCTCATTTAAACCAAAGCAACTTCCTCCAGAAAACCGTACTTTTATTTGGCCAAGTTATTTATGGCTTAATTTAAGGGAAATCAGCATTTCTATTTCTTCCTATATAAATAAAGGGCATCTTTACACTGATTCAAAGCATAAAGTAGATTTAAACGGGTACATTTGGGAGGTAGTTCAGTAGCTGAGAGTGCTTGATGTCTGAGCATGAGGACCTGAGTTCGAATGCTGGTACCTGATAGCCAGGTGTGTCTGTAACCAAAGCAGTGTATGGGATGAAGACGGAAGGATTCGTGGAGCTTGCTGGCTGCCAGCCTCTCTCTGGGTTCAATGAGAAACCTGCCCCCTGAAAATAAAGTGGAGAATGAAAGAGCAGGATGCCTAACCTTTCCTTTGGCTTCCATCCATATACACATGCCCCTGAACATGAGCACACATACCATGCACGCAATCACATATACACATATACAAATTAACAGAGGTACTTGGCAAAGGATGATTACTTGTGAAGTTTAACTTAAAAGGTACAAGGACTGAATTCAATGGTTCTGGAGTGTTCCAGGAAAGAGTAACAATGGGGCATATACTGGGGTGGGGCCCACAGACAAACTTGAGATCTCTTCAGGATGTGAAGCCCCCAGGAGGATACCTCTTACATTAGGTGAAGGATGAATGGGAAGGTGCTTTAGCTTTCAACTTGAGCCACAGGGTGGTAGTAATTCTATGAGATGGAGGTTGAGAAAGATCTTGGACGAAGGCTTACTTAAAAGGCCAGACTCAGAGAACCTTTGGGGCCACATGCCATCAACTGCAAACAAGTAGGATGCTCACTGGGACTTCCAAGAACCTCCATGATATCTTTCTTTGAGTTAAAAATAAATGGCACTCCTTCTGCAAATGCATAGGTCTATGCCTTGTTGAGGAGTATGTGATCTGTTTAGCTTCTTCTCATTCTACTGTGTCTGGAAGACACATCGCTAACTGAGGCTTCCGACTCACTAGTTCTCTATGCGTACCCAGCAATCACCCCTGGTCCTTACATTCTCCTTCTCATTTAGACCCTGGTTTATTTATTTCAAGACCTCCTAGTCACATAAATCTATCTGCTTGCTTATCTGATCTGCTGTCTTAACCTTTCTTAAACTTTCTATAGGATGTTGAAAAAGACTAAGTGATTAATTCATCTTGGTAACTATAAATCTCAGAGACAAGCTTTTTGTCAATACTGAAGAAGTTCCTACCATCCAATTTGAAGATGGCCCAGTTGAAAGCAGACCTGGTGGTTTCATAGAACAAGTTTTGCATTGCAAGTCAAGATCACTGATGTTAAGCCAGCCACTCTAGGTTGAAACCATCAATTCAAGACCCTGACTTTGACTCTAGTACCAAGCCACTAGGTAGATGACATCTCTCTCCAAGGAGTATTGACTTTACCCTTCAAAGTCAGAAGAGACAGGGATTCTAACAAGGTCTATGTTCCAACTACCATTTTCAGTTCATTTCCTGTACTGCCTCACTGAAACAGCAGATTAAACATAATCATCAGTGCCAGCTGAGTACTGCCACCCCAAGAGTTCTCTTCCTTAATCTTCTCCATTCAGCCACACCACGGGGGGCTTCTCAGGTGGCTGGCCTGAGAGCAAGGTGACCAACCCCATGCTAGAAGAGCAGCTGCATTGCTTAGTCACTGACAATTCTCCACTCCAGGTGCACTGCCCTCTCTGGGCCAATTGAGCTCAGTGGAAGGTAGTTAATGTAATCACACTCAGCCCAGCTATCAGTCAATGGGCTTCCAGTTAGCCATTTCTCTCCATACCCACAAGGATAGAAGCAAGCAGGCAAAGCCACAACTTAAGGAAAAAAAACATTGTCTCCATCCTATCTCCTCACACTTAAAAGCACTCACTCCCCTTCTCTCTACACAGATGTCAGGCTGCTACCCAGCCTGTCTGGTTCTTATTTGTATTCCCTGTTTTGCTACTCAAGACACATCAGCAACTCCACCCTCCATTTCTCTCCACCTCACCCTCAATGCCTCAGAGAAATAGAAAAAAAGCTTGTCTTCAGTAAACATTTGAGGAAGACCCCTGTCTTGGATAAACATGGCTGTGAGGGGTTGTGGTTTCATTCCACTGTGCCTCATTCCCATAATTATCAATGAGTAAACATTGCTGGCTCGTGATGCTCATATTGTTTTCTGATGACTTTGATCTCTTTTCCTAGTGCAGTTTGCTTTTCATTTCTCCCCTACCTCTCCCCTCCTTGCTTCCTTGGCCTTCAAGTGTTGAAATTTCCGCCCAAATAAAATAACACTCAGCACCAACAACACTGGCTGTGCTGGCTAGGCTCACCAATTTGACTCAAGCTGGAGTCAATTGAGAAAATGCCTCCTTCAGATTGGCCTGTAGGCAAGCCCGTGCCGTATTTTCTTAATTAGTGATGGATGGTGAGGGCCCAGCCCATTGTGGGTGATGCTACTCAGAGATGGTGGTCCTAGTTGAGCAAGCCATGGTGAGTAAGGCAGTAAGCAGCAATCTTCTGTGGTCTCTGCATCAGCTTCTGCCTCTATGTCCTCTCCTGGTTTGTGTTCCTGTTTTAGCTTCTCTCTGAACTGTGATTCAGGAGACGTAAGCCAAATAAACCCTTTCCCATCCAAGTTGCCTTTGGTTATGGTGTTTCATCACAGCAACATTAATCTTAAGATACTGACTCACCAGATTGTAAATGGGTCAGCCAAGGGCCTGTTGTATTGATGGTCAATCAGTAGCCTACACTTGTTTAAATGTAAAAGTTATCTTTTTATTGAGAGTCACAATTAAGAAATCTCAAAAAAAAAAAAAAAAGTATTTCATGGTTTATAGGATATGCTTTAAGCTAGTATCCTAGGCAATTTCCTTCCTTAGAATTTTTCTTGAGATCTTAGATTCCTGATGCTCTTGGGATCACTGGCTAGTGCAGCCATGCTCAGAGTTAGAGCATGCCCTCTTTCTTGATGAATTTAGCTCATGAAGCTGTTTTGTGAACTTAGTGAATCTCAACAATCATGTAGCTGGTGTGATGCTTGTGGCTATAATCCCAGCACTCAGGAGCTGCAGCAGGAGAGCTGCCTCGAATTTGAGGCCAGCCTTGACAGAGTGGGACAATGAACTGCTTGCTGGGAGATGGTTGCTTCTGTCTGGAGGTTTAGCATCTTCCAGGCAGACTTAATAAATATTCAGCAGGCGCTCGGGCGGGCGGTCCAGCCCCATGTGCGCCCTTTGCATAAAGATCCATCCCAGCTACTCGTTCACAAGCAGTTTTACTTGGTAATTTACGAAAAGTGCTGGCTGAACTCTACACCTGCCAGTATTTCAGCAATTAGCTTAGGATGCAAAATGATTTCTAAATTAAGGTTCTGGACGTGTAAAATCAAGAGAGCCTGATCATGGGCACCACAACTTTGACAGCTAATGAATAATGAGAGATCACAAACTAGGACAAGTCCTAGGGCGTCTTACCAGGTGATAAAGACTGTCATACAAATCTATAACACGCAGGTGAAGTGCAGGTCAAAGACCGAAGGTGTAAGAGACACCCGGATCAGTTATTCAAACCCGCTTCCTTTTAGCTACTCTGTACAGAGTGAGGATTAGGGCTTGGACGTTTTAGTAGCATAAACTAGAGTGACATTTTAGTCAGGTGAAAGGTTAAACCGGTAGAGGCTGACAAAACGCCAGGAAACCCCAGAAATGCCGGAGAGCCCAGGTAACTTGAGAATAGGTTACCTATGAACCTGCTAAGGAGGGTGGCGTCGGGGGACCCGTGCCTGGTTCCTCCCGGACAGAACTTCCATCCCAGAAAGAGGAAAGTGTGAGCAAGGAAGCGGGAGTGGGAGGAGGAAGGTGGGGAGAGGAGGAGGCCGGCACGACGAGCGGAAGGAGAGGAGGAGAAAAAAGAGGGAGGAGGAAGCAGAGGAAAAGGGAGGAAAAGAAGCAGGCGGCGGAGGAGAAGGACCCGCCCCTCCCGGCTTCTTCCTGGGCTGGGCATCTCCCGGGCCTCCCCGGGACCGCCGCCCTTGACTATTCTCCGGGCTCAGGGGGACCCCCGAGGACGCGTGTCCCGCTCCGAGCAGCGCAGCGCTGGGAAGAGGCCCCAGGCTCGCGCCTCGCGCGTCCCCGCCTCGCGCGCTCCCACCCCAGCCCGCGCGCGCGCGTGCACCCGTACACACGCTAGCTCTCCGGGCATGCGCAGTGGGCGGCGCCGCTCCGGGCCGCCTCTTGCTGCCGCCGCGAGTAGGAAGCGCGAGCGCCGGGCGCCGGGCTGTCAGTGAGCGTGGGGCCAGCCAGCGGGCGAGAGAGCCGGAGAGAGCCAGAGAGAGCGGCTCCGCTCCCAGCTCCGAGCAGCGCAGCGCCGGCCCGGCTCTCCCCGGCCACCGCCGCCGCCACCGCACCTCTGCACCGCCACCTCGGCCGCCGCCCCCGCCCACCCCGGCCCTCCCCGGCTGCTGCTCCCCGGCGGAGGCAAGAGGTGGTTGGGGGGGACCATGGCTGACGTTTACCCGGCCAACGACTCCACGGCGTCTCAGGACGTGGCCAACCGCTTCGCCCGCAAAGGGGCGCTGAGGCAGAAGAACGTGCACGAGGTGAAGGACCACAAATTCATCGCCCGCTTCTTCAAGCAACCCACCTTCTGCAGCCACTGCACCGACTTCATCTGGTAGGTGCGCGCGGTTGCCCGGGGGACCCAGGAGCCACCTTTGCCCGGGGACTGGGGCTCGGGGACGCCTCCAAGCCCAGGCGCGTTCACACTCTCACGCACAGGACTCCTCCAAGAACTTAGAGTGCCTGGCCGGAGTCCGAACTCTCGCCTGGAGTGACAGGCGCGCACCCACGCGGGACACTCCCTGGGAAGTGGCCGGGCACTGCCCCGCATGCCTTGCCCTGCAAGGGACTCTTGGCCCGGAACGGGGGTGACACAAATGGCGGGGGATGGGGTGGTCCCCTGGCTTCTTCTGGGGCGCACGGGTCTTCCCCGTAGCCAAGCCGACACTGGCCCGATGGAACCGAAGGAAACGGGAGGGAGAGAAGGCTGGGGGCAGAGGGGACCCGAGACGCGCGACCAACACGCCCCGGAGTAGCGGGGAGCCGCTGCGCTCCGCTCCAAGTTGCTGGCGAGCCAGGCTGGGCGCGTTCCGGGGAGTGTTTGTACCTCGCGTCGGGCTGGGACTCCGCTGGAACCTTGGGTCCCTGCCTACTGTAGGCTGTTTCTACTGGGCACGGAGACTTTGACTTTTCTGGGTGAGCCCAGAGGAGGGAGGGTGGGGAGAGAGAGAGAGAGCGAGAGATGGGAGGCAGCAAACTGTTGAAAGCTTGCAGTGGGGGAGGAGGGCTAACCCAGCAGGCAAATGGCAGAGGACAGAGGGAGTCATTTAAAATAGACCCTGTCAACAGGAGATTAGATTTGTAACCCTGTTGATGAGGACAGAGGGCTTATTTAAGACAGATACTGTAATGGCTAAAGGTGTCAGCGTTCAGGTGATTTCCAGTGAACGCCGAGCATTGGTAACCGAGGGGTTTAATATATGGAAGGGTTCAGGGGTCTCTCTGGAGCCTGCAAAACTAGGTGAACTTGTGTTTATGCTGATTTATGCTTTTTTTTTTTTCTGGTGAGAATTATAGCTTTCATCTGGTTTTCAAAAATGTCAGTGAACCCCCTATCCCTCCGCCCCCAAATCCCAATGGTTAGCAATCTGGGACTAACAGAACGCCCAGCCCCCTTCCCTCCCACCACTTTGACAGTTCGACACTTCATGTTTTTGGAGTATGGAGTTCCTTATAAGCAAGAGCTATGGCTGGGACTCCTTAGCTCCCTCCTGGGTGGGGAGCTGCAAGGGGGTGGCTGTGCACCGAGACACCAGCCAGTTACTGGGCTGGCATAATGCATGTTGGGGTTTCAAAGTGTATATAGGATGGATGGCTCTGAATCCAAGTAGAGAAAAGAATTAAGGGGGGGGGTCCCATCATCGCGGTGCCAATAAGATGGGTGGTTTTCCCTTCCTTTTAAGAAATCATTCAAAAATGCACATTGGCGAGCAACACAGCCACTCTGCAGTCTCCATAATGTAGTTAGCGTCTGAAGCAATTGAACTCAAGGAGCGGGTGACCGTAGATAAGGCTACGTAAGAGCAAAGGGAGGATATTACATTTGGCAGTTTGCAGCCTCCTGTGTTAACTCTGAGATTCTGTTCAAAGGGGACAGACTGCTGATTACTTCTGCCGGAAGTAGATAAGTTAGAAAAAGGACTTACATTATTACCAAGTTAACTAACGAATCTCCACGATCAGTGCCCAGAGAACCAGTCCCCGGTGAAGTGATGAGGTCTTTAGGTCACCAGGTGCACTGTGATATGGAAGAAAAGATTCTGGCTTCCTTCCCAGTCTGAGTAGTTCCCCCAAGCATGTGCTTCACTTAATCTAAAAGCAGCAGGTTTGACGGCTAGGGAATCCCCCACCAAGATCATTTTGCATAGATTTAATTTCTCTCTTTTCCTTCATTATGGCTTCTATGAGTCTTTCATTTACAGTTTTATTTCAGTATGTAAGCACTGGTATTTTAAAGCTATGTTTGGATTTAATTTTTGGGGGGGTATGACTTTAAGATAATTATAAAGAAATGTGGAGTGCTTTGTAAATTTAAAATGCTATGCAGAGCAAGAGATTATGAGCTGCCTCTGAGAACATTTTGATGCAGTTCATTCTGCTGGAACTGTATTTATTTATAATCAAATACCCACACCAGGGCTCTCGCCTTACTGAGTCAATTCTCTAGAATGATTTATAAGTGTGGGGTGGTCTCAGTGTATGCTTTGAATGCCATTGGTTCTCAATGAAAATTAGATCAAGGTGTTTTATCAAATTGGGTGACTTCAGCCAAAATTAAATGTAGACAGTGGTGCTATTTGGCAATTTCTAGATACACACTGGAACAAACTTCTAACAAGTTACTTCTTAGTTGTCTTTAGGGCGGAGAAAAAAAATATGTACTTTGTTCAGGAATAAAAGTAAGCCTCCCCCCCCCCCCTGTTTTAAAACCACAAGCTCTGTTTTGTCATTTGAATATTGTAGTCAACAATTTTGGGTATGAAGTCATGTTCTTATTTTGAAATTTAGGAATCAATCGCAAAGCAGAAAAGGCTAGAGAGAAGCTTGGTAATAGTTGAGCGGTTGTTTATAGGCAGACTCACTCGTCTAGTTTTAAAAGATGAATATACACTACACACGTTCATTTAGTTAGACACTTCAGCACATTTTTTTCTTATCAAGCCATTGTGTTCCAAGTATAGACGTTTAAACCAAGTAGAACACTTGTTCATGTAACTTGTTACGATGTGGTCTCAATGAAAGGATGCTAAGATACTTGTTCTTATTTTCTTTTCCAGGGGGTTTGGGAAACAAGGCTTCCAGTGCCAAGGTAAGCTGCCTCAGTGGGCTTCACTTGCAAATACATGCGCTGGGAAACTGTGCCTCTGCTCTCTTTTTCCCTGTGGTCTCAAAGATACATTATTTAGATAATGTTTCAAAAGACAAGTGATGTTAGTATGGCCCTTTTAAGATAAATGTCACATGGTATTGTCTGCAATCCACATATCCAACTGCCTTTTTCTCATCGAAAAAAGCAAAAAAGCAAAAGCCTTCCTATAATTTTATTTTTTGCTGAGAACATTCTTGTCAGAAACTGCTGTCTTTGTGTGGGTGTTGGGGGGGGATCACTTCATATTCATGTGGCATTTCTTTCCCGTTCTTCTTTGTTTTGTTCCTCATCATCCCCCCATACCTTGGGTTCTCAAAGCAATTAATTTTAGGCTATACATCACTCTAAGGAAGTAATGCAGATCACCTAGTGTCACCAGGAACAAAGTCTTCATACCTTGACATGACGCCAGCTATATGAAAATGATTGACAGTTCTAGTATCACTGTGTGGTGTGCCTTTCCTTCAGCTTAAGTTTATGACTACATGAGTGCTCTCCTGTGGCAACACCCACTGGCCTTCCTCTTGGATCTACAGTTGAGTTTGTGCTCACCCAAACTGAAGCCACCATCACTTATCTAACATTTTATATTCTTTGTCTTATCTATTGCATTGGGTAAATTACTCCTTTTTTTAGCTTGCAGAGGCTTTTTAGTTTCGCTAGCTCACCTTCTGGCTTGCCTGCTCATCATCTATAGCATGTTTATTTCCCATCTGGGCATAGGTTTATTATTAGGGCGAGTGGAAAGTACATTCTAGCCTGGAAAATATTGTCCTAAGACTGTCTCTTATTAAGTGCATTAGGGAAAGGCACTGTATGTGCTTTTCTGTTTTACAAGTGATGGTGTATTACTAAGTTGATTATCTTTCTGTAAACTTCCAATTTGGTGAGCTTGTTTCTGATAGACATATTAGAGAGGGGACATTTTACAGCATAATGATCATTAATACTGTACCTTTCTTAATTCCATGATGTGCTTTAAAACCCTGATTGAATGAGTCAGTTTGAGGGCTCCATTTGGAAATGAACGGATATTCCTTTTAAACAGAATAAAGAGGAAAGCACATTGGAGTGGCCTCTATAACAAATGAAAGGAAGACCTTGGTTTTTAAAGTTGTGGACCTGAACTTTATAGGTTAGGTTTGGGTCTAGCTTGGGATGTGATTTTAGGTAGTTGAAAGATGCAGATGAGATCTGAGTCTGTTACTGTTTTGATAGTGGCTTTGGTTTGGGTCAGTGCCTATGGAAACTTACAAGAAAAATATTAACTGAATTTCCTCTCACATTACTTGTCCCGGAGAAAGTAGGTATGTTGTTTTAAAACTATATCTTTTCCTTTTCTTCCATGAAAATGATTCAGTGTCAAGTGGGCAGGTTTTGCTGCTGAAATCATAGGGTGGCCATGATGCAAGGTCACCAGGACTTCTGTGAGACATCCTGCACAGCATATACCGATCTTCCAATGGATTCTCAGGCTAATAGCCTCACACCTTCATAACTCCCTTTTACATGATTTTTTTAAAGTACACACATAGCCTCTTTAAAAAATGAAATAGCACACCCCTTTCTCTTTCCATCTCTCCCAGGGATAATGCCTTTTAAAAACAACCCTTTAGTCTGTTTGCACATAATTATAGTTGTAAAAGAGATGGAACTTTTCTGTTATTCGTGCAGGTGTATTGTTTTCCCTCTGTATATGCTAAATAGCCATTCATGCTACCGTCAGCTCTTCCTGATTCTGTGCAGTGGCTTCATGTGTGGTTATTTATCCTTGTCTCCACTGCTGGGCATTTCAGTTGCTACTAAGTTCTCATAGGCACCACGATAGAGAGCATCTCTGGGAACTAGGGTATTTGTAGAACGGCTACCCAGAAGTGTGGATGTGGCATTTTAAATTTTAATGAGTACTGTAAAGTTGCTGTCCAAAAGGGCTCCAACATATAGTTCACTGTGAATGTAAAGGATGCTTTCCCATCCCTTCACTCTCTGGGTAGAGGGGTTGCTAGAAAAATCAGCTCTATCTCTGCTAACGTCAGAGAGGAAAAGGGCCTTACTTTCAACTTCTGTTTCCTGGATTAGTAGCCATTTATGTTTCTTCTGTGATTTGCCTGACTAGATTAACAGTAATACTGGATTTACAATAATACTGGATTTACAAACAACACAAAGTGAAGAAGTAGGCTTTATGTCCAGTTCTTTGCTTTGAGGAATTTAACTTCCAGTTGCTTTAAGGGATAGATTCCCCTAGTGCAGACACACATTTTATTTCACAGTAACCTTTTCTAGGATGGAGGTATTTCAAGGTGATATCTGCTCGCTACATCTTGTTTAGTTTGTATCATCTGTGCTTGACTCCTTGTGGCTATATTGTATCTTATTGTGGTAATTTAATTAAGAAAGATGCTATGCCCAGGACAGTTCTTTTAATCCCCCAGGAGTCCTTATCTAGCCTGCCTTGCTTTTAATACCTCCTTAAAATGAGTGTTCCTCTGAACACTTCACCGTTTTATAATACATTTCATCTTGTTCTCTGACCTCTTTCCCTTTGATGACCTCTTTCTCTTTGAATCTGATTGTTAGAATGTTATTCCTATTCAGGAGAAAGGCACCTGCCACACCTGGCCCTGAAACGTTTTAGATTGTTGATATATTGGGTTTTGACTACCTGGTGACAGTAGTTTCTAGTTACAGAAACAGTTTGTTGGATTGGTCAGTAGGTAAAATAGTTGTAGCATGTGTTCCCTCTTTCCCCTCCCTCCCTCCTTCCCTCCTTCCTTCTTCCCTTCCTCCCTGTCTTTTCTGTCTCTTCTTCTCCTGCTCCTTTCTCTCTCTTCCTCTTTTTTTTTGTTTGCATATTTTTCAAGCAAGACTCACATAATCACATATCCAAGTCACAAGTAATAAGCTCTCATAATTTTGCTTAGTGAATAAGAATTACAACACTAAAATAATAAGTGAATTTTAGCCCTAAAAGCCATGTTTGTAATCTGTGTTCATTAAGAAAGGATTTTATCATCACGTGAACACTTAAGTTTATTTCCTTGACCCAAGATTTGACATAAATGGAATTGGGGAAACTTCTGGAAAAGCTTTTGAGTTATTCTCACTTTCCCAAAGTGGATGTTGTACCATTCTTATTCATATTGCATTGTGGATAAATAACTCTCAAAAGTGATATTACCGGGACTGGTAACCCAGGAGGATCCTATTTGAGAATTTACTGTCTAGATGATGATAAAACCAAGAGCCTTAATACTGGGGAGAAGAAAAAAGTTCATGGTAGGCCCAGAAGCCATGAAATAGCTTCCTTAAGTTCTCCAGGTATCAAGACAGCCTTGTCCTTTTGTAGCTCTTAGAGGTTGGCCAGGAAGCTCACGTTCTCCTTTTGGATGCTGGCTCACAGTTTTCTGCTTCCTGATTTTTTATTTGGTGACTCCCGTGTTCACCCACATTTTCCTTTTCCCCCTCTTTCTTTTCAGAGAAACAGAAGTAGATTTGTTTGGTCTAGCATGGTTCACACTGAGTTTGTCTGTTAGTCAGGGAGGTCTGTTTCCAGGGAGGATTTCTATTGTGCCATCAGCTGCTTCCAAATACAGTTGTCTAGGACAGTCCTTGGTACTGCTCTCTCAGAGGCTGGTCCTCTGGGGCTATCTGCTACTTTCACTACTGGAAATGGGAACAAGAGCCAAGTCATTTTTTTTTCCTTCTCAGAGTTAGCAACAGCCCTGCCCGTCTCTAATTACAGCGGTGGACGCAGCCTCTGAAAACATGACCTGCTTATTTCAAATGCCTTGCAGCTGCTCACATAGTTTGTTGCATTTAGCTAGCCTCTGAATTTTTCTTCCATTTCTTTTTCTATTCTTTCTCTTTTGCTTAATTTCACACATTAAAATGAATTCCCAGTCCAGGCTGTTTGGTTGTGCTATCTGTAAGACAGCATCCAAAGTCAGTCCCGCATGCAGCTATAATTAGTAGGAGCCCGTGACACTGCAGGGTCAACCTTGGACTCTCAGAGCTCTGCATTTCTGCATTTCTCCACTGCTCAGTGGTTAGTGATCTTGAACTACTCTCTTGCTAGGGACATACATACCGTATCCTGTCCTTTACCTGAGACTCTACTGTAGCTCCAACTATTCAGTAGTTTATCAGTCAGTTTTCTTTCTGCTTTGCTGGTGACATTTTATTTTGAATCCCTGTTAACATACCTGACCAGGATGGGTTTTGCATTCCCTCAAAACAGTGAAAATTGGTGTTTGATTGGGAAATAGGATAGAAAGAATATTTATCTGCCCTGGACTGGTACAAGCTGAGAGGTTCCACAGAAAGACTCATTTAATGAAAGTTGACCCTTTTTGAGACAGTGTTTCATACAGACCAGGTTGGCCTTGAACTTGCAATGTAGCTGAGGATGACCTTTAATGTCTCATCTTCTTGCCTTTGTCTCCCAGGTACTGGCATTAAAGGCAAATGGTGATGGGGGTTAAACACTAGGCAAGCACTCTACCAGCTTAGCTGTATGCCCAGGAAGAGGTTGAGCTTTAAACAGAAATGGGACAGTGGGCACCGAGTTGGCAGCCTTGTAGAATAGGGATGTCCAGCTGTCCTCATCTGCCAAGTAGCGTGAATACCAGGTGCCAGGAGATAGATGAGGGCCAAGAGCCAAGCTGGGCAGAACTGTGAGCTTGGCCAACTTAACAGAATATTCTTTTTCTTTTCATGTGCTGGAATCACTGCCTCATTTTGTTTGTTTGTTTGTTTGTTTGTTTTTGGTACTTGGAATTGAACTAGGGCCACTGAATTGTAATCTCAGCTCAAGTTCTGAAGGATGCACATTTTACAGGTAGCACAAAACTCAGCCTCCTAAAACTGCCAGGGAGCTCCAGGTGCCTCAGGCTTTCTGCCTGGGCTCAGGGGATTTGAACTCAGGTCTTCATGGTTGT